GCAAGTGGAAACTAGCTTAAAGTTCACTATAAATAAACTATAGTTTACTTAATTATAACCAAATATTAAGCTTACAAATCAAAACAAATATAAGTTGGCTGTCATTTGGATGACATAACTCTAAAATTACAACATCAATAGTACATAACATTTTGTATGTATTTCACATGTATTCTTCAATGTATTTTACATGTGATTTTAGACATAGTTGTAAAACTCTTGATTTAAATATAAATGTCTATTTAAATATTTGATATTTTAATTACAGATTTTAAACTTGGATAGTATTGTATTAATATACAAAATGTTTTGCAATTATATTATTTTCAAATTAAGATGTAATTAAATTTGAAAACAAATTTAGATATTTCTAGAAAGAATAAAACACATTTGTTTTTACATATTATAATATACTGTACAATTACTGTAGTATTCTGGTTATTACGGTATGAAGCAAATTATCTAATATGTTTGTGTCTTGGTTTCTATAAAGCTGTCTGTCCTTCACAAGTCTTAAAACCATTATCAATGGTACATCGGTTATGGTTATTTCTTTATAAATGTACTAGAGGTACAGATAAATGAAATACATATAAAAATTCATTTATTAATTCCTAACTGTTAAGTACATTTTGCTTATCACTGAGTACACTAAGTGTAAATTGAACTAATCATGAAATATATAAACGAGATACTGTACTGTATATTTATTGTCGTATTTTGAAAAGTTTGTTAATTGGAAAACAAATATCTAACTTGTAAGTTGTATAAAATAAACATCTGTAAACTTTACTAAAATGAGTGTAAACCGCAATCCGCAAATGAAATATACTCAGGTATTGTGTCATAAATGTATGAGTGTTACTTAAATAGTTTTCTTATATTTAATAGATATTCATAAACGACGAGTTTGTGAATTCTGTGAGTGGAAAGACATTTGATATAATCAATCCCAGCAATGGTCAGCTCATAACAAAAGTCCAGGAGGGAGACCGGGCTGACATCGATAAGGCTGTGATCGCCGCTCGCAATGCATTTAAAAGGGTATTATAATTGGCATTCATTTAAATGGTACTTAAAATAATTTTTAAATATATTAATAGGGATCTGCCTGGAGGACAATGGATGCCTCTGAAAGGGGTCGACTGTTATTCAAGCTGGCTGATTTGATTGAGAGGGACGCTAATGAATTAGCAGTTCTCGAAACATTAGAAAGTGGAAAGCCTTATACGTCGGCTATCAAATATTCTCAGAATTTGTAATATTATTTATTAAATGTAACTCAGTTTGTGTGTAAACATCAAGTGTTGTGATAATTCAAGAATACTGTATGACATACAATTAACTACAATTTAGAAATAAAAACATAAATTCAAAATATTATTCAATTTAAAAAAATTTAAGAGAAAAATTTAATTAAAACCAAAATAAACAAATGTCGAGTTAAAGAACCTTGTCATAATACAATACAGAATTTGCTAAGCTGGCAATCGGAATTTTTTGATTGGATATGAACGTCCATTCAATGCTGAGTCAGAATATGTAATTTATATTGTCCGGTGACTTCGGGATCGGCCTGAGTGACCAGTTTTATCGGGAAATATTTTATATAAAATGTCAACATGTGATATATCATTTTATAGAGAATTTTACGTAGAATACGACGATATTAATTAAATTAATAAATAACGTCATTTTAACCCAGCAATCGAGTTCCTTATAAAATTCTTCACAAAATTTATATATCACATATTTATATTTATTATGATAAAATAAACCGATAAAAGTGGTCACTCAGGCCGAACCGGAAGTCCCAGAACAAACTAAATGATATTTTATGACTTCTTATAAANAAATTGCCAGCTTAGCAAATATTACCTTATTTGATCTCAATGACCACTTTTATCAGTTTATTTTATAATACTAAATATAAATATGTGATATATCAATTTTGTGAAGAATTTTATAAGGAACTCGAATATGTAAGTTACAATTATGAAAGATTAAAATTTAACAAATATAACGTTATTATAAAGATTTTTAAGCTATTATTTAACAATTGCTGGGTTAAAATGACGTTATTTATTAATTTAATTAATATCGTCGTATTCTACGTAAAATAAATAATGTATTAATACAATTTCAAAACTTATATTTTATTGTTTATTAATTTTCAGAAATGAACTCAAATTAGATCTACATTTCATATAAAATAATCAATTCGTATCAAATCTCGTATTAATATAGCATTCAATTTATATTAAAGTTTTAAGAGTTCTTTTGATCCATTTTGAAGACCACCTGAAATAGAAAAATCAAATACTAATCAAATAATACAGTAATTAAAATGAAAAAATGAATACCGATTTGGTTTCCAAGTACTCGTGAAGGGCTTCTTCGCCACATTCCCGACCAATACCCGACTGTTTGTAACCACCGAATGGTGTTTGCGGTCTAATAGACAGGAATGTGTTTATCCAGACATTCCCGGCTTCCAAAGCCTCGGTCAGTATCAACGCTTTTTTAACATCGTTAGTGAAGGCACCGGCAGCCAAGCCATATGTGGTATCGTTAGCCCTTTCAATCACTTCCTCCAATGTCTTAAACTTGAAGATGGACTGCACGGGTCCGAAGATCTCCTCCCTCGCGATCTTCATATTGTCCGTCACGTCTGTAAACCTGTTCATAATTAAATATTTAAATAATAAAACTTTTAAAAGATAATTACACAAATTACGTATGTGACACCCGAGTTACATCATCGGGAGTCTAGGGGTAGAGAAAGGTGGGCAGTTATCAAACCGCGGAAGAAGTGCTGGTCTGTCTATGAGTCCAAGGATTCGGTTAAAGATCTTGTCGTTGATTTGCGGTCCCTGTTGTGTCTTAGGCTCGTTCCCCAGCGGGTTGTGAGCGAAAAATCGGTTGAGATGTCTGGCGAGGTGTTTGAATAGCATTTACCACAGGACTTGCTTCTCTGCCCAACCCCGTGTCGTATAGACAGGACTTAAACGTTTGTGTCTCATATGCTATAAATTGAGACATGAAATTGTTTTCATTAAATTTACTAAAACTTAATTCAAATAAAATACTGACGGCTGTGGCGACGGCGACATCAATGTCCGCGTCATCAAAGATAATAAGCGGTGATTTGCCGCCCGTTTCCAGAGTCACGCGTTTCATGTTAGACCGGCCACCGGCCTCCTGGATCAGTTTGCCCACCGCTGTCGACCCGGTAAATGCGATCTTGTTTACATCCATGTGCTCAGCCAATGCGGCACCGGCTGTGTGGCCATAACCGGGCACTATGTTCACCACACCCGCTGGAAAACCGGCCTCTTTTATCAGAGTTGCCACATGTAGTGCAGTCAAAGGGGTCTGAAATTAATAATTTTAGTTTAATTTACATTAACATTTTACCTAGTATATTTCATACATTTTCCGCAGGTTTCATTACAACTGTATTACCAGTGGCTAAAGCGGGTCCAAATTTACTGGCTAATGTAAACATTTCAGCATTCCACTAAATTGTAATCAAAAGTTTGATTTTATTATTAAGTTTGTAAAAACGTGTTAATAATAAACTGACGGGTGTTATGAATCCGCAAACGCCTATCGGTTCAGCCCTCGTGTACGCAAAATGTGGTCCATCGGCCGGAATGACCTTTCCGTGCACTTTGTCAGCCCAACCCCCGTAATATCTTAGAAATACACTAGCACCCCTCACGTCTCCTATAGCCGACGTATAAGGCTTTCCACTTTCTAATGTTTCGAGAACTGCTAATTCATTAGCGTCCCTCTCAATCAAATCAGCCAGCTTGAATAACAGTCGACCCCTTTCAGAGGCATCCATTGTCCTCCAAGCAGATCCCTAATAATACATTTAAAAATTATTTTAAGTATCATTTAAATTAATGCCAATTTTAATACCCTTTTAAATGCATTGCGAGCGGCGATCACAGCCTTATCGATGTCAGTCCGGTCTCCCTCCTGGACTTTTGTGATGAGCTGACCATTGCTGGGATTGATTATATCAAATGTCTTTCCACTCACAGAATTAACAAACTCGTCGTTTATGAATATCTATTAAATATAAGAAAACTATTTAAGTAACACTCATACATTTATGACACAATACCTGAGTATATTTAATTTGCGGATTGCGGTTTACACTCATTTTAGTAAAGTTTACAGATGTTTATTTTATACAACTTACAAGTTATATATTTGTTTTCCAATTAACAAACTTTTGAAAATACGACAATAAATATACAGTACATTATCTCGTTTATATATTTCATGATTAGTTCAATTTACACTCAGTGTACTCAGTGATAGGCAAAATGTACTTAACAGTTAGGAATTAATAAATGAATTTTTATATGTATTTAATTTATCTGTACATCTAGTGTAGATAAAAAAATAATCGTAACCGATGCACCATTAATAACTGGTTTTGGGACTTGTGAAGGACAGACAGCTTTATAGAAATTAAGACACAAACATATTAGATAATTTGCTTCATAATAACCAGAATACTACATAATGTACAGTAATTGTATATTATAATATGTACGAACAAATGTGTTTTATTCTTTCTAGAAATATCTAAATTTGAAAACAAATTTAATTACATCTTAATTTGAAAATAATATAATTGCAAAACATTTTGTATATTAATACAACACTATCCAAGTTTAAAATCTGTAATTAAAATATCAAATATTTAAATAGACATTTATATTTAAATCAAGAGTTTTACAACTATGTCTAAAATCACATGTAAAATACATTGAAGAATGACAAAATGTTATAATATATACTATTGATGTTGTAATTTTAGAGTTATGTCATCCAAATGACAGCCAACTTATATTTGTTTTGATTTGTAAGCTTAATATTTGGTTATAATTAAGTAAACTATAGTTTATTTATAGTGAACTTTAAGCTAGTTTCCACTTGCATCTATTTATAATCTGTCAATAATTCATAATAAAATGCTTAGACATGTTTCAAACATTTATTATCAAAATGTGGTTAATAGCAAAATTTAGCATTTTATTCAAAATCCTATTTATTTATAATTTACTCAAATATTCTCAGAATTTGTAATATTATTTATTAAATGTAACTCAGTTTGTGTGCAAAAATCAAGTGTTATGATAATTCAAGAATACTGTATGACATACAATTAACTACAATTTAGAAATAAAAACAAATTCAAAATATTATTCAATTTAAAAAAATTTCCGAGAAAAATTTAATTAAAACCAAAATAAACAAATGTCGAGTTAAAGTTTATAAATATTTAGTCAACATTTCTAAGTAAATGTTCATTTAATAACATTTAAATAGCTATTATTATTTTAAGAAAGCTCAACAAAATCTCCATATATTATTATTGGAGTATTAAACTGTCATTCAATTCGAGTCAATATATTTAAAATAAGAAAACTTTGTTTTGAAAAAATAGTACAGAATATGTGAGTCGAGAAAAATTCTGTGCATAAATTCTGGCATAATTCCAATTCTTACTAATACTGTATAATGTTTTTGAATTTCAACCCATTTTTAAATATAGCACCTGAGCTCCAATACTAAGTTGTCTGGGATTTTTGGACATAGACTGACATATTTAACATGAAATTAAACTCTAATAAACATGTTTATCAAATTATAACAAAAACAAAATAATATACTTATAAGAGACAGAGTTAATTAAATATAAATTTTTAATATTAAAAAACTATAATAATTTTGTTACAATTTTGTAAAATACAAATTTAAATTTTTATTTATTATTAGACACATAAAACTATTTGAAAAATTTCAAATGATTTAATGCCTAAACAAATTGAAGTGAAAACAGAAATAAATTTACACGAAGTGTTTAGTTGCCATTTATTACAGTTAATTAAGTATAAAACTTAATCATATAAAACATTTAATTATATTTGATAAAAATAATTTGTAGATTCAAAACAAAAATAGTGAATGTTTAAAATAAAAACATTGAACTTAACTGACGTGTGCTTAAGGGTCGGGTGCTATACGTGTTTGGCCTCATATAAAACGAGACTAATTCTGTCACAGAATGTGTGTTTGAGTGGAAAAGTCTGTTCAGATGTATGAAATTATAGAAACCTGTAATGAATGTCACAATAAATTTATTGTATTGTAATTTAGAGTGGAATTTAGTGTTGGATGTGTCTGACAAGTTTTGTAATCAGTATTAAAAGTATTCAAAATAAATAATGTATTAATACAATTTCAAAACTTAATTTTATTGTTTATTAATCTTCAGAAATGAACTCAAATTAGATCTACATTTGATATAAAATAACCAATTCGTATAAAATCTCGTATTAATATAGCATTCAATTTATATTAAAGTTTTAAGAGTTCTTTTGATCCATTTTGAAGACCACCTGAAATATAAAAATCAAATACTAATCAAATAATACAGTAATTAAAATGAAGAAATGAATACCGATTTGGTTTCCAAATACTCGTGAAGGGCTTCTTCGCCACATTCCCGACCAATACCCGACTGTTTGTAACCACCGAATGGTGTTTGCGGTCTAATAGACATGTATGTATTTATCCAGACATTCCCGGCTTCCAAAGCCTCGGTCAGTGTCAACGCTTTTTTAACATCGTTAGTGAAGGCACCGGCAGCCAAGCCATATGTGGTATCGTTAGCCCTTTCAATCACTTCCTCCAATGTCTTAAACTTGAAGATGGACTGCACGGGTCCGAAGATCTCCTCCCTCGCGATCTTCATATTGTCCGTCACGTCTGTAAACCTGTCGATAATTAATATAAATTTATTATTTTGAAAACTTTCTATTAATGTGTTTATTGCATACACTGTGGGCTCAATGTAGTAGCCCTCAGATCCCCATCTCTTTCCACCCGTCAATAGTTTGGCGCCTTCTTCACGACCACTGTCTATGAGTCCAAGGATTCGGTTAAAGATTTTGTCGTTGATTTGCGGTCCCTGTTGTGTCTTAGGCTCGAAGGGGTCGCCCAACACTCGCTTTTTAGCCAACTCTACAGACCTCTCCACAAACTTATCGTAAATGGTGTCCTGAACGAAGAGACGGGTCGGGGCACAGCATATCTGTCCTGAATTTGCAAACACAGCCATATGCTATACATTGAGACATGAAATTGTTTTCATTAAATTTACTAAAACTTAATTCAAATATAATACTGACGGCTGTGGCGACGGCGACATCAATGTCCGCGTCATCGAAGATAATAAGCGGTGATTTGCCGCCCGTTTCCAGAGTCACACGTTTCATGTTAGACCGACCACCGGCCTCCTGGATCAGTTTGCCCACCGCTGTCGACCCGGTAAATGCGATCTTGTTTACATCCATGTGCTCAGCCAATGCGGCACCGGCTGTGTGGCCATAACCGGGCACAATGTTCACCACACCCGCTGGAAAACCGGCCTCTTTTACCAGAGTTGCCACATGTAGTGCAGTCAAAGGGGTCTGAAATGAATAATTTTAGTTTAATTTACATTAACATTTTACCTAGTATATTTCATACATTTTCCGCAGGTTTCATTACAACTGTATTACCAGTTGCCAAAGCGGGTCCAAATTTACTGGCTAATGTAAACATTTCAGCATTCCACTAAATTGTAATAAAAAGTTTCATTTTATTATTAAGTTTGTAAAAACATGTTAATAATAAACTGACGGGTGTTATGAATCCGCAAACGCCTATGGGTTCAGCCCTCGTGTACGCAAAATGTGGTCCATCGGCCGGAATGACCTTTCCGT